ACTAGCACACTCAAATCATCGGCAAATAGATGCCCTGAGTGGGCACCTAGACATTTAATCAAGTCGCAATGATACACAATAAAAAGGTATGGACTTAAGCTACTACCTTGTGGTAGTCCTATGTCAATATTAAATTTTTCTGATTTATTCTCTCCTAAATTAATATATGCTTCTCGGCAGTTTAGCCAGGAAACAATCATCGTGAGCAAGTTTATGGGAATTCCTAGATCTCGAAGTTTTACTATTAAGCCATCATGCCACACTTTGTCGTAGGCTTTTTGATAATCTACTCCATTATTTCGATATTCTGCGACGTTGAGTGCGTAAACATATGGTTTACCGCCCCAATAAGCAAAAATCGGACCTCCGCTAGATCCTCGTCCCGCATCGCAATCGTGTAAGAAAAGATCGTCTAGCACTTTGATTATCTTGCAATTGGTAACTGTTCCAGCTGTTTGACCGTTCCTAAAATTAGCCGACCAGGAATCCAGACAATTGTTTGAGAATAGTACTGGAAACGGTTTTCACATCTAACGTACATTGGGTAGTACCGAGATTTTTATCTAAAACAAGAACTACTCAATCATCTTCACGATAGCGATCGGGATTTGTTGTGCCCCACCAACTGTACGTCACCTAAGTTCGTAGTTTCGACTGCTCGTTGATCATATTTGGATAGAAATACACAGGTTCTGCCTGTTGTTTGTGTGTTTTTGAATCGATCACACAGTGGGCAGCTGTGAGAACTATATTAGATGCCTATATTTAGGAAGGAAAACTTGTGCAATTCTCAAGAGAAATTCTTAATCGTTTACCACAAGAGTTCCCGTACAACCTGTACTCAACTTTCCAATAGCGCTCCAAGGATATTCAGTGCTCGTTACAGCAATCCAATCATCAACGCCAAAGATGTTTCTCGTTGCCAGTGGTGTACATTCATTTGATTTTGAACGTTTGCCGAAAACGAGAGCATCACATTTTTCGTCACCATCACACCGGTGACCGATCAAACATGGTCACCAGCGCTTTTGACTTGATCGCTGTGATTCCAAATCTGTATGAACTAAAGAGATCGAAATGAAGGCAAGAACAGCAGTGATTATGGTTCGAGACATAGTAGGTTGCTAACTTGTATCGTTAGCTGTAGAAAAATAACAAACGCTCTACTATTAAATATTCAAGAAATGATCTGGACACCTGTCAGTTTAAATTGGAAGATAAATATCATCAGTGTTCTTATTTTCGGGTCATATCAGTAGCGATCCGTTGAAAGCGAACTCCATCGCACATGCAAGATTGATTAAGCAACGAGACGATAAAAAGTAATTAAGAAGGAGTCGACACTGATACGTAATAGCCATTAAAAAAAACAAGTTTTTTTTCTCGTATCGTCTTCTACTTATTCACGATTAGATATAAATATGATTTAGTTTTACAATTCTCGTGACTAAAGCAACTAGGAACTTGTCAGAAGAAGTTTGTATTTAACAATTGGATAGTAGCACAGCTGTCTGATGCATATGGTGTAAGCGGAAAGTCATGAATGTAATCAATAGAAATCGAATCTGATGGAGAAATTCTTACAATTTACCGAGGTCGCGATGACATTCTGGATGTAGGTGAAACTACAGATGATTCTACCACCCGTATCACTCTCGGAAGTCTTCGAGCACTGCTGTTGATGTTATTCAGAAACCGTAACACCGCCACATATCGTTGGCTATTTTATGCAAGTTTACAATATGTGAGTAAAGACATCGTGCTGTAAATTCTTTGTTTGCTTACGTTCTCCTTCTACATTGCTCGACTGATTATTTTCGTTCTTATCATACCGTTTCTTCCATACTGGTCTTTTTTTTCACTATTGTTGTTTTGAAGTCTGGTATGTGCGCTGAAATACAAAGATCTCTGCTACTGTTTCCAATTTTTTTGTGATCTTGTCGAAGAGAAAAGTAAGAGTTACGTTTGTCGGTACTTTCTAGATGAGAAACATGCCGATCACGCTGTTTGAAATGCTCCCTAACGAGCTTTTACATATCGTGTGTTCGCATCTGACCGGTTTCGAAATTCACCGAGCATTCAGCGATCTAAACGCTCGATTGACTGGTATTATAAGCGACTATACCAAACATTTCAATTTAACTCAAATGAAATTTCAACAGTTTGAAGAATGCTGTCGAGTGTTACTTCAATCAGATCGAGGGGCACAAATTCAATCACTTTGCCTTTCGAACAGAAGACCAGTTGTCAATGAAATTGCCTTATTTTTAACGAAACTACGACCATTACATGAAAGATTGCCTAATCTGCAATGTTTGAAATTATTCGGTGCTACCACTGCAGAATTAATGCATTATTTACCCAACACAATTTTACTTCAGAAGTTAGCAAAACTTTCGATTGAATCCAAGAAAAAATATACGACTGAAGATATCGATCGGATATTTTTCGAAGATTTAGTCAAGAATCTCGGTCCAATACAACAACTATCTTTGAAAGGCATCTGTCTCACAAACATTTCTCAATTCCAATGGCTAAACAACACTGTTACACACTTAAATATTGATATAGAAAGAATAGCAGAATTGATTTCAATTCTTCGTGTCTTTCGTAATCTTCAGTATTTAAGTGTAAATGTAGTTGCCATCAATGATACCAGTCAAGTTCAGTAAGTAGCATCGCAGGAGCATAGATCGGTAACATGTTATTTTACCACTAGATGCAATGATGCTGTCCCTGCATTACAATTGAAAGAATTTCGACTGAAATCATTTGACAGTATATCTCTTCCAACATTTGATGATTTGGTGTTTTCATTGAATCTAATGCCGAATTTACACTCATTCAAATGTCAACTGAATATTTTCTATACAGTACTGAATGAAGATTATTCGACATATGCAGATGGTGACCGATGGCACATGATACGCAATCAGTTCAAATCTCTAGCAAATTTCGATTGCTCTTTTCGATATAAGATATTATGTAATACAACGTGTCAAGGTATCTGTCAATCCTTTTCCTCGTTTCCTTATTGGACTGTAAAGGTTTATCCATCATTGCCATATGCAACTGAGATATTCGTGTTTACAAAACGACCACATCGATCAATTGTGGAAATATTACCGACATATTTTGAGCAATACGATGGCCAGAAAATCACCAGTTTAATAAACAGAGCTTCGGCCATTTCAATAGATTGGAATGATTATGAACGTGAAGATGATATACCGACTCTTACGTTGAGTTGTCCGAACTTTTCACACATCAAATCATTGCTGATTGGATATCCACTTCTGTATTTCGATGACCAGTTAAAAGAATTTTTACGACAACTTTTTCATGGAAGCTCGATTTTGAACGAAATCATTCTTTATCTGTCGATTGATGAATCGGCCATTGACAATATTCTTCATGTTCTCTATTGTCTATCACAACCAATCAACAGTGTTACAAATCTTTCTTTCAGATCAGGAATCCGATTAGATGAGACTACCATTACGATTATGGCTTATTATCTACCATCATTGGTTTCGTTCACATTGATGGGAATCGATGAACTTGATGACGTGGCGGAAATTGTAAGTGCATGTGTAAAGGAAATGAAACATTTGACCTATCTTGAATTTCACGTTCGGCATCCTGGATCAGTAGAGGATGGTTCAATATTGAAACTGCGGTTGATGGAATGTGAAATTCACGCATGGCTAATGCAAAACACAAGTTTGGGAGATTTAGTGACGGAAAGAGAATTTTATGCAGAATGCTCCGAAGATTTAAAAATTTGGTTGTCATAAACTAGTCGAATGATGATTACGCCATCTTTAATTTTTAGATTCTTATTGAATAAATACATTTACCAATAGATTCTTTTCATTTTGTCTTACTATCAATGTTGTAGAACTTACATCAGACTACACCTGATGCCGTCTGAGGCCGATGACGCGATTAAAAAAGAAGCTGGTCGTTTGTACACTTCCATGTTCGGTAAACTGTTAGAAGATGATGACGAAACGCCATCACGAATTGCAGATCGATTGTTTCTTGGTTCTGCTCCCGATGCTCGTAATTCAGACAAATTAAAATGTTATGATATCAAATATATACTGAACATGGCAGAATCTACATCGTATCCCAAGGACTTTTTTATTACTTCCGGATGTCCACATATCCGTCTTTTTACTTTAGATGCACATGATCTCGATCACTTCGATATCTCTTCTCATTTTTCAGCAGCCTTGAATTTCATTCATAAATCTTTACAAGCAGATGATGGTGCTGTACTGGTGCATTGTTCCGCTGGTGTATCTCGTTCAGCGACTATTGTTGCTGCTTATTTAATGGCTGCGCATCAGATTGATGCTACCGAAGCTGTGCAACGTGTGAATCAAGCACGTCCATGTGCTTGTCCCAACATCGGATTTATTCAACAATTACTTCGTTTCGATTACAGAGGTTTTAAATTTGATTAAAAAAATGAAATTCTTTCTTCATAAACGTGAATAAAATGGGAGTATTCGACGTTGAACTCTTGAGCTATGCGACTGAGAGGATCTATTATGCACCGTTAGTCGTTAGAAGTCCTCAAAATTTCAAATCGATTGAAGTCATTTACTTCGATATCTGAAGAAGATTCGTCAGTAACAATATCTTCCTCTACACGACGACGTCTTCTTTTCAATTTCGGCGATTGATCAGCGATGCTCCTACTCGTCTTTTTGTTTTTCATATTTACGATTGTATGTTCTTCCGCTTCATCATTGACACGAAGTCCAGAATGGTTTCGTATGATGATCCATCCAAAACCTTGTCGTGCAAATATTCGTCGAAATGGAATCGTCTGTGGTTCTTCTGACAACGAATCTAGACTGTACCAAGCGTTCTCATATTTCTTAACACTCCAAATATGTTCATTGTTGAAGACTAATATTGCAACAATATCAGAACATGAATCTTCACTAAACACGATGCCAGGGAAATAAAAAATAGCAAGCTGATGTTTTCAATGTTCGTACTTTATATCAGGTGGATGGTCTGGAGAATAGTATGTACTTTGTAAATTGAGCTTGTTTAGAATGAAACTAATAAGATTATCATCGGAAATAATAAAGAAGAACTCTCGACTTCCTCTACAATGGTTTTTCATGTCGAATTCGTCACAGTAATGAAAAAATCTAAATATGATACAGAATATACGATACGACGGATGATGTGATTGCAGGACTATCCTACCTTTTTCGAGAAATAACTGACCTTCCCAGTGCATTATTAATAGCATGCAACCTGCATGTATTACTAGTGTCTTGCCTTTCGAAAAAGATCCGTTTTCTCTTTAATTTTGTTTGTCTCTTCATTTTATGGGTAAAGAACAATCTGCTCGGTAGAGAAAGAAAACAATACGATTCACAGAAATTATGTAATTCCTTGAAATTACATGCTATGCAACAAATAATTTATTCAACCAATGAAAACCTCACTAGCGATATCTCGTTGCCGAATCAGTACGTCAAGTATTCGATTGTATTGATTCACCGATAGAAGGTCTTGGATTTCATTCAACCAGTCAGAAAATTGTTCGTTGGTAATTTGAGCAAAATTATTCAACGTGTGACTTATTAAAGAACGATCCGTCACTGACAATGATTCCAGATAAAGTTTCAGCTTTCTTGCTTGTTCAACTGGATCGAATTTAACGATTGTCAAATGATTAGTGTGAAATTTACAAGCGACAAGACTAACAATACTAAGTTTACCTAATCCGAAACACGACGCATGATCGATCAGATGTATTTTCATCTCCACATTCGGATCATTGATATCAGCGGTATTTGGTACTGTAATTAAAAGATTTCTTAAATTGCGATCAGAATTTTGAATAATATGATCGAACAGATCCATACGCCCTAAGATCGGATGTGTTAGTAGATGTTTGCGTACTTGCTTTGGTAATTCCATACACGTCATCGTTCTTTCATTTCCTTGGTTAACGTCTGTGTGTAATGTCACAAGTTTATTTTGATAAACTGTAATTTGTACTTCATTGACAGGCAGATCGAGTGCACTCCCTAGAACATAGGCCAGCCATTCGTTAGCAGCACATAGTGGATTTTCTTGAGTTTTCACTAGAATGCGTCGACCTTGAGGATCCAACATCCAGATTGATTCGCTATTGAATCCTTGATCATGATTTTTACCGATGTATGTCCATTCAGATGTGATTTTGATGAACGCTGATTGTTTGATCATAGTCGATTGGTTTTTCTTGGCTAAACCGTGTGCTACTGCGCGCACAACTGAGCTATTCATGTGAGTATGCTTAGCTAGAGTGTCAAATACGTGCATGGTCCCATTGAAGATCACTTTGATAGGACCTCGTATCCAACGAACAGCATTATTGGAAAACTGAATTTTATGAGTGATTCTGGATGGAATATTTGCAACATGAATCATTTCCAGTACATCTTCTCTTAGACATTCTATCTCATTCAATAGACATCTTGTTGTTCCGTCCGCAAGAAAATTTGATGGTTGTTCTGGAATCGTATTGAGAATCGCTGCGATTTCGTCCAATTTCTTCTCGCAGTCATCAGTTGAACAAATATCCGATATTAATGAGTTCAATCTTTCAATTGACGAAGCGTCTTTGTCCGTGGTGTGTTTTAAGTATTCTTGTAATCTGGTTCGATGATTCAAAAGATGATTTGTGTATCGATCAATTGAGTCTATTTTAAATACATTATCATTCATTTCTCCCCAATGACGAAAGGCTAAAAATGTACAAACTGGGGTATTTCATCGAGCGATCACAAGTTTAAATAGTTTTCGTCGTATGCTGTTATGCAACGGATTTCGTACTCCCTCACTGCACTCATTCAATCACACTGATACGCGTCTCGTCCTTTTGACGCTGCTTATGTAACACGTGGTGTTGTAAACTTTGTCTTTTCTGCCAACATTGAATAATTTAATATGGTTTACATAATCATACAGAGAAAGAAAACATTTTTTTTCATTCTGTCGTACAATTCTTTTCTACCTGTATTTTCTATCACTCGAGAAATTTCGTGCTCGTGAGAACAAAACTCGATTGTTAAGTTTTAATCTTTTTTAACCTTGCTTGTTAAAAGAGTCATCCAACGCGACTCAAATTTGTTTTGTCACTTTTGTTTTTGATTGGAATCGAGTAAACCAGGGAATGCTGATATAGGTGCTAGCTGATTTGCGAAGTATGAGCAAGATCATATTAACTGCTTCTATCTCAGAGGTAAGTATCAGACGATTAATAGCATCTCGAAGATAACTCGTTAACTTCGTCATTATGGACTCACCGTGGTCCAGTAGTTTCAAATGTGTTTGCCATTTTGCGGCAACACACGATAGATTTCTTTTGATTCCATTGCGTGAACTACACATTAATACAGTGCGGATCAGATAAATGTTGTGGGCTTAAAGCAATACCAAAGGCAAGCTCACATATTGTACTAGAACTTCCATCGAAACATATCAGTATATTAGGGATGGTTCCATTTATGGGATCACGATCTAAGTTATTCAAATCGCTATGAGTAACAATCTGTGTCGGCGTTAAACACTCAATATTATAACTTCCTTTTCCGTTGTTCAGCATCAAGTGCGCCTTGAATAGCTGCATTCTTCTATGCCCAAAAATCACTACCCCTCCGGCAACTATCAGCTAAAAGGACACAATTATTCTTGATTATTCACACTCAATCAACCGTACACATTTGGTACGATCTTCTCCTCCGATCATTCCGACGAGAGCAATTCGACTAGGAACTGTTGCTCTAGTCATATTGCATGTGATTACGTATTCATACATTGCCAAGAAACAAAAGAAACTCAAAAGAACAACTATTACAGAAATTTAGATGTCATGTTTCGTCGTGATATAAAATTCATTGTTTTTGTTAAGAGAAAAGAGAATAAGCAGAACAGTTTCCGGTTTAATGAACACATCTTTCAACTCACATACTCGTATTAGAATGAAAAATATTCAAGTAGCTTTTTAGTTGCAATTCAAAATCTGCATGGCATTGATCTTTCATCTTTCGTTCGTCATTTTCTCTCCAAACACATAACGACAATTCGACAGCAGTTTTGTCGTTGACATTAATAATATTGACACTGATCAACAATAAATCCTTTTTCTCATCGATCTCTGCATGCACCTGAATTCCACTACGAATTTGAATACTTCTCCCGCATGTTACACTATCTTGACATTTCACTTGTCGATCATTACCTAACCATTGACACTCCTCGTTTGCTCCTTGATCTAAATAATCAAAGATGCCATCCGAAGAAATGGATTATCTTTGAAAATGTCTGATGAAGACAGATCAGTAGATATGTTCGATGACAATAACGGAAGAAACCAATTCTGTTCTGTCTTGTTTGGTATTATCAACTGAAACGCAAATCGTACTTGAAATTCACGTTGTTTCATTGGTCATTGTCGATTGGAATCAGCAAAACCACAATTAAATATTCGTTTTAGATACTAGCTTAACAAACGCTGTCTGTCTATACTCGTTGAAAAGATGTAATCATTCTATTAAATAATACGATAATGTATTCGCTTACCAGTTTCTTTTTTTAACTTCTGCGTCAACAATTGCTTCGCTCTCCTTCAATTAGTTCGGTCCTTTCTGATTGATATCTCTGGATTCTCTTGAATAGGTTTTTGTAATTATCCAAAATAGTATTGCATAGACGTGACTGGCATCGACAAACCAACTGCGGCATGCTTTTCGTCATTCGTTGTCATTTTTAGCCCATGTTCCTTCATTTTCCATTTTCATTTGTGTTATGCAATAAAATAGTGTATGCGGTTAATGTATAACATCGTCGAATAATTGTTGAATTTGTTCCATTTCTACTGATGAACCAAATTCGATTAATACTGATTTATCTTTTTACCATTCCTTGGGTAATCGTCTAACCATAATATTATCGGATGTAATGATTTGATGGACAATATTTTGAGAATGTACTTACTTGATAACAATAAATAAATCCGAAATGATCGTCAACATATGATGCAAATTGAAAGGAACATCTCGAAAATATTCCTTTAATGTTTTACCATCAATCTGTTGCATGGTGGCGTATGGTTCATTTTTCGTATCAGTATCACTAATTAACAGCTTCGGTATACCTTTCAATCCAACCAGTTTGTCGAGTGCTATGCATTCTTGTTGACTTGCGTATATTTTGATGACTGTGTTGATTTCCTGTTGTCTTTCTTGACAAGTGAATATACGAGATTTGTGCCATTCGAAGCAGGTATAAATACACATATATCGAAGTTTGACAGATAGTTATGAGTATTTACCTGTTGTTCCCATGATGGCGGTTTTGTTGAGAGCGATATTGACGAAGAACGTTGAGTTTCATCGTTTCAGTCGAAAAAATCCCTATTCTTTTCTAACTGAAACTGTAACCGGTTCCATTTTTAGTCTTTCGAATATGGTTTATTATGCCATTTTGACATTATCTTTTGAAGAGCATTTTCTGATGATTGGTTAACTCCGTTTAATATCAAATTTTTCCAATATGTCGTCTTCGGTTGTTGATGCCAGAAGATGACTATGCAAGTCGTGTAAGTGATGTTGCTTGTCTTCTGCTACTATGTCCGTATCAGCATTCCTTATCGCCACACGCACCTGGTTTGTCACATAAGATATGTCGGTAGAAACAAAGTTCATATGAGCATCGTCCTTGTTCATAATCTCTACATAATTCCGTTTTATCTAATGGTGCATCGATAATGGTACATTTTATTTTGTATCCGCGTAAGATTCTGTTTGATTTCTCGACAGTCAATCTGTGTGATTTTCATGTGCTGTTTGTAAGTTTAATTCATGGTTTACCCTCTATACGACTTTCTGATAACAAATACTTATTTAATTCACACCCTGCATGTATAAAAGTATATCAGCAACATGTTGATGACATGCACACAAGATTGGTATAAATCAGCAGCGGTTATCACATCCGAAGACTTTGTTGTTAATCAAGTTTCCTCTAAGTCAATTTCTATTCCATTAATTCTAGGAGATGTATTCTCTAGAATAACCTGATCAACTGTGTCGTAAGTAGAAAAAAACAGCAATTTTATACTAAGCAAATATTAGGACAGATCTTACTCTTGGAATGGTCACAACAAATTATTCCACCAAATCAATTGAAATATTTCTGCATGTCGTATTCTGTCAATTTCTGTTGAAAACTGACATTCGCGACAAGTTCGCGCAATTTAAACGATAGAAAATAGGTGATTTGGCCAGACATGTAAATATCCTTCGGGTTGAGTCGGAACACTTCGAATTCTTTTCCATTTACTTTAAAAGGACGATTCTGCATGAATTGATTTACTTGATTTCCCCTTTGAAAACGAATATAAAGTCTATGCATTTGGTCATCATTTGCATCAACTAAACTACTGTGTTCTTTAACAACGATATTCATGTTGATGATGTACGTATCGTACGTTTCCCTACTTTACTCTAAGACTTGTGTGGGCGGGCCAATCTTGATAAGTACTGCCTTTTCAATATCTTTTTTATTAATCTCTTTGCAGACATCATGAATGATAACCAAACAACGATCCTGATCGAGCATGTTTTGTGGCTCATTTCACAACGAAGTCAACTTTTCCTGTATTCATCGAGAAATATCTCTAACATTGCCTTTGGTATACAATTCTTCTTCAGATGAGTGATCATCTGAAATAATATAGATTTCGATTTCAGTCGATGGTATGTAGTCAATCTGTTTAGTTTATATGTTAAGATTTTTGTCCATGAAAAAAACGACTATCAATCTTTCTTAGTAGTCAATTTCCAATTACTATATCAAGACACCAGCTAGCAATCGATTCTTTCTTCACAAACGAATGGCAAAGAAAACACGTTCTTTTTCGTTTCAGAATTGATTTGAGACAAAAGTAAACCCTGTGTGATCAACACGTGAAGGAACAGAGAGAATAATTATTCCTACATTCAAGATAAATCATATTAGTTCTGTCAACTTCAAAGTATATTAATTCTTTTGTCTTCTTTTACCATTGAACATATTTCATACGTGTAAGCAGATCCCACTGGTATTTCACGTTTTAATAATTTTTACCGGATCTGTGTAAACAATTGGAGAAAGACATCGATGTTTCTGTCTTCGAAATGAAGTTGTATTTTACGGTTTACATCGGAAACACCGATTCAGCGTACATTAAATTGTTGCCAGTTTTCGTCCATGAATGTTGATGTATTGTTTCCATGAGATGCCTAATTCGACTTATATTATAAGTCGACCCCCGACTGGCTAGTACCAATTCGAATATAAATAGATATCTATATCACACTTATAACAAATGAGTAGATAGGAATAGAAATAGATTTAGTTTCACTTATACATATATACAACCACACCCCTGTGAGTTTCGAAATAGAAATAGATTTAGTTCCAGTTATACATATACATAGGGTAGTCAATAAGTTCTCGGAATTTTCTATACCTCTCTCGAACAATTGTCATTCCTCCGTTTTTTTGCATTATATATTCGAGTTAGTTGGTGTGATATTATATAGAAAGTTTCATCATACTAGCTGATTCTCTTGATATCCTATTGAGATAAATGTTGAGTAAAAAAATGGCTCCTTGGTTATTGGTGTAATTTTACTAATCTTTACAATCATAAAATCTTGATAAATCCATCACAAAGTAAACAGATTTAGTGTGATAGAATTCATATACATCCGACTGATCTTCAATATCCCAATATTGTATTCAATATCATTATTATTGCGAGAGAACAGAGAAACTAACCTTTCGCAAACGGTTTTTGCGGGCCATAGTACGAACTACCGTAGAATGCGTTAAAAGTCTATGTTCATTAGACCGGTTTTGGGTGTGCATGATTTGCAAAGCAGCTAAGAAAACTATTTATAGTAGTTAAATGTACGAAAGTTCACCGAGATAAAATTTATCTTCATAAAACCGTATTTTTATGCATGAGGCTACTTAGTGGTTTTTAAACAACATAATAAGTAGCGTTACCATATTCTTTAAACACAATCAAATGAAGTTACGGCTAATGCAGTATATTCACCTTAGACTAAGCACTCAGTATACTAGGTCGTAAAACGAGTAAAAGAGAGACTA